TTTTTTATTCCTTTTTCATAAAGACAAACCAGACAGCATTTTAYCCCCTACTAAACGCATGCCGGCAATGAAGCAGTCGATCCAATCATGCCAACATGCCAAATGACTCGACTTTCATTCCTGGACTCGGTGTCATTTTTGATTGGATATTCCATTTGGTTCTCTCCTGCGCTTTAAAGGRATTTTCTCTGGGTTCTCCTGTTTTTCTCCCTTCGTAAATAATTTTTTAAATTCCAATTCGACTCGAGGTTTGTTACCTTTGTACACGTAAAACAAGGCGATTTTAATTTTTTTTGTTTTGCGGCTTGGCTTTTTTTTACATTGTCACAATTTTTAAATTCCTTTCAGCAACCTCGAAAAAAAAGAAAAAAAAAAAAGATTCTGTAAATAATCTTTTCAAGGAACTAAATAAACATACCAGTTTTGTAAAACTTGATCTTTTTCGCACGTTGAACATCTTCAGGCTCTTCAGGAACCAAGGCAATATCAAGACTTGCTCTTTTTCTTAGTTCATCGTCAGCTTTGTTGACCTCAGCGATATTTTTCTTTTCGTCTCGAAATTTCTTTCTCAGRAGTTTATTAGCAGCGTAATCGTCTTTCCATACTGACTGGACCTCCTTGATATTGGTAACAATAACAAAAGAAGACTAATTAGGTTGACTAATTATTGCCATGGAAATTTTTTCTCTGACCTCAGGGTGGACGCCGAAAACCCTAAAATAAAGACTGGATGAACGGTGCAAATTAGAGCAGTTTTGGTATGACTGTAAACAGYTCGCGGAACAAACGCGGTACAGCAAGGCATACGCTGGGCCAACCACAATGCGCTAGAATTTACTCTCCYTCCAATCAAATACCCAAAACACGGCGCGGACACGGTCACGCCAAGGTAACGGCACTGTMTAAGTATGCCAGACWAATCATATTGCGCGACAATGAAATATTYAATCAACATTCTTGACAACATCACGGTCGCGGCAARGCACGCATACGSTTTTCACAATCATAARAAATCTGATGTATATGCACAACGTTGCAAGTATCCACGAAATTGCATCATACATGTCGAACTCCTTAACTGCTGTGCGCAAGTGTGGAAAACAACAAAGAGGAGTGTCTGTATAAGCCATTCCTAGGTTTAGGAAAAAACTGGGTCGAGTTGGCATTGCAGTGCATTGTTGGGATACTATAGGACAYATTTCCAAGATGGTTTGRAATCCAGCAATACATGTACCTGTAACTGGTGTAAGACAGGAGCGGCTTTTTTAGATTTCTGTACATCCTCAACTCCATGCTCCAACTTAAACATAGCATCAATAGCCATTCTCTTGGCATCCTCTTTGTCTAGAATTTAAGTGATTTCAAATGTCATAGAGTATTAAAGATTAAAATTAAAAGTCGTGAAACCAGAACATCATTGAACAATTATTGAACTTGGCTTTCCACATAACATTATATTAATAATAGTAATAATAATAATAATAATAATGATGATGATGATGATGATGATGAT